CCTAAAAATTTAACCTAATTTTTATTAAGATTTGATATGTGACATTTAGCATCACATGGTTTCGTCTAACAACTATAATCGTGTGAAATTTTATTTTGTTTATGTGATCTAAAAAATTCGGACTGTTCATAACAATTGACAGAGATTTGATAATATAAATAATCCACAGGTTACTTTAAGCTGATGAATATCCATAGATTAAAGTAACTCAGAGATTGTTATTGTATTTTAAAAAAAAACTATAATTTAAAGTTCAAATCCGGTTATACATTTTTTATATGTATATTCTAAAAAATATTGAATTTTTTATATTAACAGTTTTCGGAAATAATCAGCCGTAATGCGGGCCAAACCCTGTTACGTTGCAAACGGTTCACATGTGAACCGTTTGCCGACTTGACAGTTTTTGGCCAACATTAACGGACCCTGTTTTGGAAATAATTAACCGTAATTCGAGCCAAAAACTTTAAAGTTGGCAAACGGTTCACATCTCTAGTACTGTACAATTGGCAATTTTAATTAGAGTTAGGGTCACATTGAACAGGTTATTTTAAACCATAGATTTAAAGTAACCCGTAGATTAGTTATATTATTTATTATGCATTTAATATATTAATTTATTTATCGACCTTGCAATATATGTTGATAAATTGTATTTATTAAAAGTTTATTTAGGTGATTTTCAGATAAAGTTAAAGTTGAAACTGATTGTTTATTTATTTCGAGTATATATATATATTGTAATGTAAGGTATGAGTCATTTTTAAAGAGAAAAAAATTCATGCCACGAATTTGCAGACATACATGCTCTGATAACCTAACTCCGAATGACAATCTCGAACGATTTTATATAGGACATATAGAATTTTTTGGAAGGGAATTAAGGAGAGCCGAAACTTTTTTTAGAGAAAATGGAATAACAGGTGAAGATTTAGAAGCAAAATTGAGTAACTTAAAAACAATCATAGAAGAAAGGGATCGTCTCAGAGAACGGATAAGACAACTTCAATACACCCAAAGTATTGCATCTCGAATGATAAATGAAATTAATGCTGAAAAAAGGCTACTACAACAAGAGAATGCACAACTTCGTCACAATCTTGAGTATGAACAAGCGACTAACGGAATAATTATCAATAATCTTAGAAATCAGGTTGATATCCTTGAGAATCGAGAAAACATTTTTACAGAAATATTAAGAAACCAAGGTAAAATATGCAAAAGAATGTATTATTTTTATTTTTATTATATTACATCAATGAATTAAACATTTAGGTCAAGTTATTCCAAGGTTGCGTAGACAAGATGCTTTCATTTATAAGGTGGAAGAAGATTTTGAAACTAGTGATTAAATAAAATATGAAGTGTTGTTAATCTTTTCAATTAATTTTTATAATATAATTTTTTTCATTCAAGTCTCTCAGTTTCAATTTTTTCATCATGTGAGACATTGTTAATTGAAGTGAATGGCCAACATCATCAGCTCCATTCACTACCTAGCCTATTATTTAATAATCATTGTCAGCCAACATCATCAGCTCCGCTAATAATAATAGACTAGTCTTTGATTTCTTTGTAGAAAGTGTAAAGTGAATATATGAAATAGTTAAAAAGACAAAACGTAATTACTCCCCTTGTTTAGTATGGTTCAAGTTCTAAAATGGTTTACATTCGTTTTGGCGTTTTTTTGTTGTGGCAGTGGCAGCGTTAAATATCTTGAAGTATTACAACACACAGCTTCGATTGTTATTGAGAATTTGGAAAAAGTTGGTGATATTTGTTAAATGGTTTGATTTTTTTATCTTCACGGCCTCGCCGGTTTATAATTTTTTGTAAAAAAGTGTATAAGTGAATATATGAACAATTAATAAAAAAAATGAACAAAATTTAACTTGAGTAGTTGAGTGATGTTCTCATATTTTTGGTATGAGATAAAAGTTTTGGTTGAATTTACCTTTGATAGTAAATAGGCACCAATTAAAAAGTGATAAGCTAGAAATTTCTTTGTAAAGAATCTAGTTTGATGTTGTAACACTTTAAGCTGTAAGTAAATAGGCACCAATTATAAATTGATAAGCTAGAAATTTCTTTGTAAAGAATCTAGTTTGATGTTGTGACACTTCAAGCCATTAGTAAATAGGCACCAATTAAAAAGTGATAAGCTAGAAATTTCTTGTAAAGAATCTAGTTTGATGTTGTGACACTTTAAGCCATAAGTAAATAGGCACCAATTATAAATTGATAAGCTAAAAATTTCTTTGTAAAGAATCTAGCTTGATGCTGTGACACTTCAAGCCGTTAGTAAATAGGCACCAATTAAAAAATAATAAGCTAAAAATTTCTTGTAAAGAATTTAGTTTGATGTTGTGACACTTCAAGCTGTTAGTAAATAAGCACTAATTAAAAATTGATAAACTAGAAATTTCTTGTAAAGAATCTAGTTTGATGTTGTGACACTTTAAGCCATAAATAGGTACCAATTAAAAAATGATAAGCTAAAAATTTTCTTTGTAAATAATCAGTGCCAATTAAAAATGATAAACTTAAAAAATGACAACCCAAAAATTTCTTTGTAAAGAATCTAGCCATATGACGTGACCTTAAGCCTGCGAGAGTAAATATGTGAACCGATTAATTAGTTTGATCCGAATTAAGACCAAAAAAGTTGATCAGTTCGCATATCTATATGAGAGGGTTGTTAATCGGTATCACTATTAACTGACTTTGAGTAAGTTAGTAAAAAATTATTTCAGTTTATGTCCAAACTAGTTTCGAATCAGCGAAATAGTTTCGGCCACATGTATAGCTCAAATATCTTTTTTAATAATAGTAAATAATAATAATAAACTTCGGCCACATGTATAGCTCA